ATCACCAAGCTCTACATGGAAGGGAGTTGTCAGCTGCTTGTTTACATCAAGACTACTCAAAAAATCTGTGATCATTTATCACAGTAGCCTGCTTGGATTTTTTTTTTTTTTAAATGAGAAACACTGCTCTCAAAGAAACTTCAAGCACCATTACTCACTGAAACTTTACTTCTCTCCAACCTCTACCCTCTTCTGCATCCAAGATGTTCTTCGCAAGGGTTATGACCAGTGTAAATTCAAAGCAATCAGGCTGTGGACTCTGGAGCTTAAGAGTAAGTAAATTAAGATTGTCCTGTCTTTTCTGCCTTTTGGATAAGAAAAAGAATTTCATTTTTGTCTTTTAAAATGCTTCCCTGCCTGAGCTTTTCTTTTTTGCTTAACTTGGGGCCAACTGGTATTCGCAGTGCACAAACTGCAATGAACTGTACAACATCTGTGCTGACTGCTGGTATGCACACTGAGAATAGCTTACAGAAAACAATGCTTGGATGTCCAGCTCCAGCCTCCCTTCAAGGAAATTAAATTAAAATACATTTATCATGGCAGGAATTAGCCATGAAACAAGTACTTGTAGAGTCAGTTAGTTTCTCTTTTGCATGCCAGATACATAATGATTTATTCTCACACAAAGGACAGTTTTATAGAACTCTGCATTAAAGGTAAAAGCTTTAGCAATAAATGATGTCCCATCATGAGTTAGCCAGACAGTATTTTTGAATCTCTAAGTCAGACCCAATCTTAATACTGTCACAGGACATTGTCCCTGAAAATCAATTTCATTCTGTCAGTATTTTTAGTCTTTCAGTCACTTAAAGATAAATCTTGCTTTTGACTAAATCTGTCAGCAACATACAGATACTATAAAACAATGTCAATGCAGCAGCTGGCCAGCAGCCTTTATTTATTCAAACCGATTAACTCTTACTCAGAGTTTAAGCACAGCATAACATTAATGTAAAGATCAATTTTAAATAAAACCTGGCATCCCAGAAGATATTTAAAAAGTCAAATTTGTAAGGCCAAAATGTTTCTAAGTGCTGATTTTAAAACCAAGCAAACAAAAGAACCCTACTTCTCTCTTCATCAATTCACTGTCCCCTAAAAATTCCTTGCAGAAAAACTTTATGAAACTCACAGTGGGCACAGTGACCTTCAAAGCATCAATTATAACAAACAAAAAAAAAAAAAAAACAAAAACAAAAGGAGTAAATTGTTTTTAAATAAGCACATCTCACTCTGGATACCTCATCTGAGAACTGATGGAAAGCATTTTCTCTGCAAGAATCTCATTGAGAGGACAGCTGCAGAAACAGCTGCAGCCACTTTCAAAACAGATTCAAGGTACAATTCTTGAACAATGCACTCAAACAGCTTAAACTGGGACCTACAAGGGACCAATAAATAAAACCACCTCTACGAGTATATACTTCTCCCTAGTTTGCAGTAATAGTTAGAGATTTAGTAGTATTTCTTAATGCCAATCACTAGAAAATACTTTTTTTCATCTAGTGGGACCAGGAGTTTTTGCACAATTTTTTCTTCTCCTCTACTGGGAATTTTTAGATATGGAAATACAAGCATTCTAAAAACACCACAAACCATTCTTTCCCATTAGCTCCACTTCCAAAAGTTGATTAACAAGAATTAAATTCTAAATTCTGCAGAAGACAGCCTTTGGGTAAGACAGCCAACTGAGTAGTATCAGGTAAAAAAAAAAAAAAAAAAAAAATAGGCAAGCAAGCCACCAAAGAACACCCTCCTCAGGCTTTGCTACATGAAGGTCAACAACACCAAACACAACAAACAGCTCTGAAAACAAGCATAGGCACATTTCAGCAAATATCAGTTTTTATACTATGCTGAGGCATAATGCCAACAAGGGCTCAAACAAAAACTGTATGGTCAGAGGAAGGACATATTTTGCAACATCATTCTTCATAATCACCTTCTCATGTAAGTTAGGTGACACAGAACAAAGGCATGAGAGAGAGCATATACCACTGCCAAAAGCAACCTGGCCAGGGTCTAACAAATTGGTTTTTTAGGAGAAGCTGGCCACCCTGCCATGAAGAATCACAGGCACATGAGCTCCAAATCCTTACTACATTTCACCAGGCAAGACAGACAGTGAACCAGCTTACAAATGGTAATCCAGTGCCACAAGAATAACAGTTTAAAATTCAAATCCAGAGGACTTGACTATCGCATCCTTGAGAAGCAATTTCATCTTCCATTGAAGCAGTAAGTGAAACCTGAAATAATTATGTGTGCAAAGAAATATGATAACATCTCCTAACAAGATTTTAATGGACGTGCATCTGTTTCATAATGTCTGTACTGACCTTAATGTATAAACATCAAGGGACATTGTTGGAGAAAAAAACAAAAGAAAAACAATGGCCAATATAAACCAATGGACAGTAAGCACCTACAGCACCAATAAAGCATGCTGGACAGGATGATATTCAGAAACACCCAAATGAAAAATTTCAAAACTGAAATATAGGCTTTATTGAAAGAGGCAGTTGCTGGGAAATTGTTCTGGGTAATCATGTGAATACAGTTCAGTATTATGGGTAGAGCAAGAATATTTAGGGTTGTGGTAAACTCGCAGAGAAACATTCAATATGATGGGACCAAAGACCATACAGAACCCAGAAGTTCAAATTATACCCTCCCATAAAAAAAGTCTTTCTTTTCCTTCCCAGCCTTCAGCCACAAGCCCTGCCCATGCTGGGCTAATTTTGCCAGTCACTTATTCGTAGAGCAAGGTGAATCAAACTGATAAAAAGTAACATACCAAAAATTTAAGCAAGGGGTAAAAGTTCTTTATGCTACCAGAGTAGAACCTATGCAAAGCAGAGAGAAGCATGGGTAATGATGTAGAAGAGTGAGATTTCCCCAAACGGTGGCAAAGATGTTAAATTGACTCAACTAAAATGTGAAGCTGCTAGAACATTTTAACCACTGACATCAGGAACTCTTAGAATATGAGCATACACCAACACAACCATTATTTTGGAGACTTCTCAGCATTGGCCCTCATATAACAAAGTGGCAAGGTTTTGTTCTGTTTTGTTTAAGGGAAAAATTAAGACTGTTTCTCACAACTATCAAGCCTAAGAAGTCATGACTACACTTAAGTACAGTGGGCTTGACCCCAGCATTCTGTATTAAGTTTCTGATAGCAAGAACGCAGTAATTATTTTCCATATTCTGGATTCAATGAGACCTGGAACACCACACTTCTCATCTTGATGACACGAGTGGTCTTGTCTGACTTTCAAAACTTCCAGAAAGAAGACCAAAATTTAAGGAAGCATTAGGTTCAGAAAAGTTTTAGTTCATCAGGGTGTAGCAAACAAGTGCATACACTCTGGATGCAAGCAATAAAAAAACAGAGAAAATAAATAACAAGATACTAGGTTAAGCTTTAATTCATGTAGTTTCTTGTTTAGAAGAATTCCCTAAAGCATCCTCTGTGAAAGGAAACTGTAAATAGTATCTTAAAGGAAGTGGAAGGTAGGAGTGAATCTTCCATCACCCCTTATTGCTGCAGAAGGGTGTTTGCTCCTCTCCCAAGCACATGGCTCTGCTCTCTCCCGTGCCAGCTCTGGTACTCACAAGACCTGCCTGTGCACCAGTTTACATTGCTAAAAGCCAGAACAATACTACTTTTTTTTTTTTTTCCCATCCTTTTACTAGTGTTTTTTCAACAGTTTAATCAGTTGAACCAGCTAGTGGAAAAGTCCAATGAGCAACTGAACCAGCAGATGTGAGAAGATGCCAGTGCAGGAGATGAAACTACCTTTCATGGCTGAAAAACATTAAACCACCTATATGTCATGAAAATGAGACTTAATTGCACACTGCTGAACACCCTTTTCAGAAGGTTGATCTTCCTTATTCATTCTGAGTCATTTGTCATGATACAAGTTTGGCAGCTGGACTCGTCTAACAGCTTAGTATCATTATTAGACATGATGTTCACCTGCTTCTCAGGGAACCAGCAAGCTTATGAAGCCAGAAAAAAACTAATGAACAAAAAGAAAGTATCTTGCTGACCTGGAGAACTGAGTGGTTTCACTGTATGGGCCCAATCAATGGTCAAACCTGGTAAAAAGAAATGAGCTAGATTTGTTACAGTGCCAGTTACCATTCCGAGTCCCATAACCTTGCACCTTCCTTCAAATGACAAACTGCACAGAGTTCCTAGACTACAGTAGCGGACAAAGCTTTAATGCCAAGTGAAGCAGAGAATCCCTTATACGATCTGAAGTTTCCTATTCCCTACCCACTTTTACACACGGAGTTTTAAACATCCGATTGCGTGGGATCCTGTGGGACATGAGACTTGGAGGGCTTAGTAGTATCTTCTAAAAGAACAGAAAAAAAAAAAAAAAAAAGAAGACAAAACACGAAGAACACCCCCCCACACACAAACAACGCAGGAGGCGGCGAGGTAGCCAGGGGTACGGAGCGGAAAGCGAAGCAGGGGCCGGGGGCAGCGGCCCAGCCGCACAACGTGCGGGGAGCGCGGAGCCCCGCGGCCGGTGCCGGCGTGCTCGGCCCGCCGGCGGCACCTCAGACTTGGTGGAACGGAGCGCCGGGTCGGGGACCCGCCGCGGGCCGCAGGTACCGGCCGCCCGCCGGGAGGGGGGGGGGTGGTGGGGGGGGCAGCCCGGCGGGCCCCCTCCGGCGCCGCAGAGCGGACAGGGCCGCCGCTCGCCGGGGCCGGCACTGACCTGCCGCCGCTTCCAGCTCTCCCCGCTCCGGGCGGCGCTTACCGGCGGCTCCGCGAGGCGACGTCAGAGCCGCGCACACCTGTGGCGTCAGAAGGACGCCGGACGCTTTGCCTGACGCTGCTCCGCGCATGCGCGACACCACCCCATCTTCCCCTAACCCCCGTTCGCGGCACGCAGGCCACTCAGTGACTGAGCGGTGAGCGACAGGAAAAAGAGCCAATCGCGTCCTCATAGAGCCCCTAGCGCTCCCGCCCTCACATGCGTTAAACCAGCCAAGAGTGAAGGCGAACGCGGGCAGCCAGCCAATGGGGCTGAGCGAAGAGGGAGGAGCGTGCGCCCTGATTGGCGGCGCCGCGTAAGTGGGCGGTGGTCGCTGGGGCTGTTGCTAGGTAGAGTAAAATGGCGGCTTTGGAGAGGGTCAAGGTGCTGGTGTTGGGCGACTCCGGTAAGTGTCCCGCCTCCCCCCCCCCCCCCATTGTGGGCTCCCCCTTCCCCCCACCCAGTATGCGCGCGCACAGCGAGGGTGGGGGGCGTGTTTCCTCCTCTACCCACCTCAGCCGCGGCGTCGGGCGGCAGCCGCCCCCCCCCCCCCCCCCCCCCCGCGCGCGCTCTGGCGGAGATGGCGCATGCGCAACGCGCCGCTCCCGGCCCCGGTCCCTCCGCCCGCTGCTGCCGGCGGGCCCTGGGGCCGGGAGTGCGGGCCCACCCGCTGGGCCCTGGGGCTTTGCTCCTCGCTTCCCTCCGCCCTTTGCCATCGGTTCTTGGGCGCTGCTGTCCGGACCGTCGGCGTTCAGGGGGTGCCTCTGCCCGCCGGCGCGTGGCCTTTTTTTTTTTTTTTTTTTTTTTTTAAACCCGTCCTTGCGTGATCCCCCAGGAGTTGTGTCCTCTGCACTTGCAGGTGTCGGGAAATCTTCGCTTGTTCACCTCTTATGCCAAAACCAGGTGTTGGGAAACCCGTCCTGGACAGTGGGCTGCTCGGTGGACGTTCGAGTAGGTGACGCACCCGACCTCTTGGTAGCCTTAGCTTAAAGTGAAGAGAAGGGCCTTGGCACTTTTTTTTTAATTTTCATTGCTTACCGTCCCAGAAAGAGGAGTGTTTCCATGTCTTGTCCTGCTGACGGCTTAATCTTTTGAGGGAAGTAGTATTAAATGTGAACCAAGCACTCGTGTGAGCAAATTTTCACCTTCCAAGGTTGTGGAAGTCAGACAAGATACTTGTTGTTTGTTGTGCCTCACTGCAGTGACCGCTGGTGTGCTACAAGTCATGGAAGGCCAGTTTAAGTCAGAAGGCAGAGTTTAAAGCACACTTCCCTGAGAAATAGCTAATGCACAGCTAAATTGTCAGCCAAACATACTGGAGAAAAACACTTATTTAATTTGAGCATGCTGACCGTGACCATAGTGTTGCTTCTCCTCCTGTCTGCTCATTGCAGGGCCTACTATCAGAGGCATGAGAATATTCTTCTAGCATCTTTTTGGTCCAGCCTGAAATCCTCATGATAAATGCTTTTTTCCTTCATCACTATTTGCTGCATTATCTTGGAAATTCATTGCCATAGGTTAGGAATACATTTCTGAAATTTGGGGAAGGAAACATGGCAGTCCTGTTTGACTGTGAAGCAAAACTACCTAGCAGGTTCAGGAGCAAAAATTGTTGATTGATTAATTCAGTTGAGATGTCAATGAGAATTTGGAGAGGAAAAAGATGTGGTCACCTGTGTTAATATTCTTGCAGTACTACCGTGTGGGTTTCAACGACTGGAAGAAGTCATGAACTTACTTTTTCATCTGCTTTAGCAACATGCCATTTCTAAGCACATCATGAGGGATTAGGTTTGCTAATACTGAGGTGAAAAGGATGCTCCCTGCTGACTCACCAAGTTCCATCTCATATGAGAGCTGTGATATCCAGTGGCCACTGCTTGACTCATTCCATCTCTCTTCTATTTGAGAGATTTGAAATGGTGTCAGCATGAGAATTTACCAATTTCCATCCAAGTACAATAATCCTTTCAGCTGAATGTGTAGGTGTGTGATTTAACTCCTGTGAACTGATACTGTGCTCATGTATGATGTGAATTTTTCATCAGATCCATGACTACAAAGAAGGGACTCCAGAAGAGAAGACCTACTACATTGAGCTGTGGGATGTTGGAGGTTCAGTGGGTAGTGCCACTAGTGTGAAAAGCACACGAGCAGTATTTTATAACTTGCTGAACGGTAAGTTTGCTTGGTGTAAATCTGTTTTTATCACTGTTTCTGTTATAAACTGTCTCTTGGTTCTGGGGCAGGATTCCTTCAATTCGAGTTGAGGGCTATATTGTTCTCTTCTCTGTTTCCAGTATGTTTATACAGGGAAAAAAAACCTGATACCATTCATAGGCAGAATTTTATGGATAATAAAAGGATAATTCACTAAAAACAGATGTACACCAGATTAACAACTGTTTCTGAAAAACTGTCTCAAATGTTCGGTTTGATTCCCTTTTCTTGTTCCAAATCATTTTAGGGCCATTCGGTAATGTGTTCAGGTATACAATAAACGTTTTTGCACTGTGATGACTTAACTAGTTATTTCTTCCTCCTTTCTCAGGAAGGAGTCTGTGTGTAGGTACCTCTTGCTTATATTGTTAATCAGACTTCTGTAAATAAGGTTTGAGCTGAGTTGTGCCCTCAAAGCAAGCCTCTTTGGTATATGAAAAAAATAGATTGCTTTTTGACACCAAATCCACAGTATGCCAGTGAGTGTGGGTCAGACTTGGAAATATCCTAGAACAGCCCATTAGGAGATGAAATCTTGAACATATGTGTCTGAATTATAATTGATGATGTTATTAAAATAGAGTTATTTATCTCCACTGCCCAAAAGACATTACTAGGCAGCTCTCATATGAAAACTGTTGACTATGGTAGGTAGCCTTGGCTCTGGTTTCTTTCATTAGATTAATTCCTTCATTAGAGCTTGTCTCATAAATTGCCTCTGTTTGACCTGATTTAGGATGAGAAGATGAATGTGTTCCTTCTGCCTGCCTGCTTGTGCTTTCTGGGCTTGCAGTGGTGTGAAAACCTGAGATCAGAAGGCGGTTAACATTTGGTTGTGGCATCATCTCTGCAGGCTGTCAGGGAGACCTGGTTGTTGACAGTTTTAGGTACAATTTGCTTTTGGTTTGACCGGAGATCCCCTGCTTTGGTGACCCTGGAACTGGTGTGTGGACTGTGATAGTCTGGGACAGTGACTAGGTGGTAAAGCTGTGCCTAGCAGACCTTAATGGGGGAGGAACATTTCCTTGGGTAGTCATTGTCCCTGCCTGCTCTTTTTCTGATGTTGACAGTCTTTTTCTGCTGGTACCACTAACTGTGTAGGTTTTTGGTGAGGCAGATAAGGGAACTGAACAATCAAAAACATAACTGAGGAAGAGTGTCTGGAGGTGGAGTGTATTTCTCGCAGATTATGCTGCAGTGCCTCTGAATATGTTGCAGTAAGCCGAGTTATGTTGTATCAAGCTTTTTGTCCCTATGCTGGGGGTAGACGCGCAGTTGAGTTGCCTTCTTGTGTTGTTACTGAGATAAATGCTTTGAAGTAGGGCTATGGTTGTAATACACTGGGAACTCTCATAGGAGAGTCTGCACAGTTTTGTGGGGTAGTGGAAAACGTTTGTGGAAATGTTGTTTGTTTGTAGTGTGTACAGCGGGTGGCACCTTTGGGAGTTTAGGTGAAAGATTAAATTAATAAGTTTTCACCTGTAGACTGTGAAGTGTGTTGGCAACGAATTCTGATGAAGGTAAGGGGTATAATTCCATGTTGTCCTTGAATTAGTGGTGGTTTGAAGTCTGGATGAAATGGAAGCATTCTACAGGTTGCAGGAGGTGTGAATAAATAGAAGACATTTGCTAGCAGGGGTTGGTTATTGTGTTAGGAACTGTGGTTATCAGAAGTGGGTGTCTGTTAATAGCACAGCTAGGAAGTTTGGCTGGCTGTTTTTCTATCTCAGAATTTACATTTTGAAGATCATGATAATGAAAAATCTTAAAAGCTTAATCTTAAATACATGAAATCTTATTAATTCATGTTTTTACCAGCCGTTTGGTGGACGATGAAAGTTTATCAGTCTTTCCCCTTTGGATACATCCCCAAATCTGTAGCATTAGTTCTTGAAAATACAGGAAAGCAGGAGTGCTCTCTAAATTCTTTGAAGCAAAGAAGCAGCCTTTAGACTTCTTAGATGGTGCAACAAAAGGTAGTTATGTTTACCAATTAGGTAAAACAGTGAAAGGCTAAATTCTCTACTGCAATAATATAGAGTTTCAGTACCATTAGGACTAAACAGAGCAGAATCAGGGAATGCCTGCAAGCCTTTTTCAAATTAAACCCTGTGGTGGCTGTTCGTTTCCTCTTTTCATGAGATTTTTCTCTTAGCTCTTATCCAATTCCTGATAAGCAGCTTTTAAAAACCTGCTACATCCTGATATTTTCATCTTTACTCATTTACTGTAACTGAACCGGTTATACATCCCTTTCTTCATTCTGGGATATCTGGGAACCTGCAGATGTCACTTTGGTAAGATAAGGGGGAAAAAAAAAATCATTAAATAGCATCTTGCTGCCTTCTGTTTCACTTTAGGGATAATTTTAGTGCATGACTTAACCAACAAGAAATCATCCCAGAATTTGTATCGCTGGTCTTTGGAAGCACTCAACAGAGATGTGGCTCCAACAGGAGTTCTCGTGACAAATGGGTGAGTGAAAAACATATGTGTGGGGTTAAGACACAATAATTTCAAGCTCTTATGGAAGCCTTTGTTCATCCCGAAGGCAACTTGAAGTCCCCGTGAAATAAGATGTGGCTAGACTTTTAAGAAAGAAAGGAAAAAATGGGATATATCAAAGAAAAACGCTGTTCTTTTTGTTTTACACTGCCAATCAGGCCATTCTGCCAGTTGATTCCCAAACTGTACGGTGGAGACCTTGCTTTAAGGGAAAAGATGTTCACTACATCCTTCATTTGTCTGAGGCATCTGTGAGAGTGGTTCCAGTCGCTGATACCTGAAGACTTGTGTGTCTGTACCGAGACGTGCAAAGCCCTTGTGCAGGAATTGTAATGGGATGTCATGTCTCTGTTCCAAAAGGCTTTCCCTCCATGCAACAAAACTGAGGAAGTTCACTTCATTATTTTTTGGTTTGGGTGATGGGGGAATTATTTCAGGAGTGTGGCTGAAAAAGAGCATAGAAAACTATTTAAGTAGCATGTTAATAATTAGCCTTCCAACCTATTGTCAAGTATTTTCTCCTGTACCTCCGTGCTCTGGTTGTACATGCAGTCAAGGAGGTTTTAAGATCACTGATAAACCTCACACATGAGCAGGGAAGCAATAATAAGGGATAACTTTTTATGGGAGGAATATCAATTGTTTATCTGCCCATGCTGGTATGCAGGCGTTTCTGCAGAAACATGGGAGAAGGGAAAAAGAATTTGCATTGTATAAACTGCAAATATCTCCAGTTTTTCCACATACAGGTTCTTCACAATTGTTTTAATTTTCAAAAGCTTGACTTCTGTCAGAGACAGGTGCTCAGCCAGTAGCAATTGTTTCATCAGGTTGTTGCTGTTGATTTTAAAATTACTTTATAGAGAGCTTGATTTAGGTAAAAATGAAAGACTAAGTGATTATACTACCTGAAGAGAATGATCGGAGCCTGGATTTGTGATGGCATTTAATTGCAATGTTATTTATTTTATAAAGGCTATCTTTGATCATTTTTCATAACTGAATCAAGGCTTGTTAGAAGTCAGCTTATCGTGACTATCTTTACTTGAACGTAGAATAATTACTAACTTGACATCACACAATTGTTATTTTATCCCTCTTTGATCTAATATGGAAAGGGGCAGTGTTTCACAGTTGCAATTTATTTCATTAAAAACTGTATGTGTGTAGGAACTTCAGATGTTCAGAGATGCCATTTCCCTGATCTGTCTCTGGTGGCTGCATACACTTGGTACAATACTGAAATTCCTGTTTCTTTTCTGCTTGTGTGAGCATTTCTTCTGTGGCTCATCTACGCTGAGAAGAAATCCAGCTCCTGGTTTCTTTTCTCTTTTCTTTCAATTCCTGTGTAGTGACTTAGATGCAGAAACCCATCCTTAATTTACAAATACAGCACATTGTCACTTAAATAATGACGCTTAATAAATAAAAGACTGTTATTTGAAAGGGACAGGGGAGCTGATGGTGCCTCTGTGCCCGCTTCTGTGACCATCGCTTCATTTAGGATTGTATTTGTTTCCCTCATCAGTGACTATGACCGTGAACAGTTTGCTGATAACCAGATTCCACTGCTGGTAATAGGAACTAAGCTGGATCAGATCCCAGAAACTAAGCGGAATGAAGTTTTAACCAGAACAGCTTTCTTGGCTGAGGATTTCAATGCTGAAGAGATAAATTTGGTTAGTGTCCATGCCACTGGTGTTGTTTTTCTTTTAGATGGCAGCGAGTCCAATTTTCAGTAAGTAAAGATGGTGTGACAAAAATTGGGCTTTTGGAAATTTTTCTCTGTAATGCTGGAGTCATGCACATCCCTATTGCTTAATGAAGCTATTGTCTTTGTTTTGCTATAGGGAGTTATCAGGGGTGTTAGATAAGGTCACCAAAGCTTAGCAATTGTGGTTGGGACTTAAGTTTTCTCTGGCCTGTTCTTAGTTCTGACACAGACTCTGAATGAAACCTCGAGATCACTTTATGTATATATATGTACAAAAATATACATGTACTGTGTGAATGCTTGTATACACACACACACACACACACACACACAGCATCATGTGTAGCCTGTACAAATTATTTGCTGACTGCATAGCTGGTGGCAGAAGGACACATGGAGAGCATAGAGGAGTACTTAGTGTTCTCTGGTTGATTGACAGAACAGAAGTTGGCCTTTTCTCTCAAATGACTGTGGAACAGAAGTCAGCAGATCTGCTGTGTTTTCCCTAGCTGATTGCATGTGCATGTGTCAGGGAGAAGGGTATGTTGCTTTCTATGTGTATGGCTTCCTTGCACTGATTTCCTTGTGCTTGGTTTGTTGTTCTCTTCCATGTGTTGTAGGATTGCACCAATCCTCGCTACCTGGCTGCAGGTTCATCCAATGCTGTCAAACTAAGCAGGTTTTTTGATAAGGTAAGTCAAGTCAATTAAATTATTGTTTTATGAATGCTGTCTGTGATTTGAACATGGAACAACAATTAGCTGCTCCTTTTACCTTCCACTTACTGAGTTGATTCATGCCAGGTGTGGGGAGGCTAAAGATTAGTGTGCTTTTGGAAACCTTCAGAAGACAGCTGATCTGCTTGAAGATTTGATTCTTGATCTGCATAGAGCAATGAAAAACTCACAAATGTGTGAAGACACTCTGCACGTGCTTTTGGAGTCCTTTGGCAGGCCAGAGGGTTTGCAGTGTGCTAAGGTAGTAATGTGGGGAGTTACAAGACTGGTTAGCTCTGCTGATCCTGGTTAAAGCAAACTTCTGGAACTTAAGAAATTTGACATATATATTATTCTCCCTTCCCACAAAAGAAAGCATCAAGGCATACTGTGAAACTGACAGAAGGAATGCTCTGGGTTCAGCGTTTCGTGGACAAAGATATCATAGTGGAGCAGGTCACCTCCTGTTTTAGATGATGCTTTAGAGGAAATTTGGCCTGAATTTTCTTTGGAGGAGGGTGTAGGTTTTACAGCGTAATACAAATCGCTTTTTGTTTCTTAAATTGACAGTGCTGCCTCCATAGGTATCCCTCAGCACGTGCATCATTCTCAGAGCAAGTCAGGCCACCTCTTCTCAAGAATCACCTATGCCCAGGGGCTACTCAGAACCACTGCAGTTGTTACCCACCTGCAGAATGAGCTTTTTCTAGCACTCAGAACCTGCATTTGCAGAGAAGGATGGGAATCCTTACTCTGATGCAGTATGGAGACACCCAAACCCATCATCTCCATTACTAAAGAGGGTTAACTAAATTAGGTGTGTAGAAGTTGAGGATAACACAGCTTTACTAAGAATGGCTGGAGGTGGTAGTTCCTTCTGTGTGTAAGAGAGCATTGCACTTAAAGCAATAGGCCTGGAGCAGGGGATGTGGGTTCAGATCTTGTCTCATTTAGCTGTGAGTTTGTGCTCGTGTGAAGTGTTGATTGGAATCTGAGGTTATGCATATGCTGTGCCAGCTAAGGTCATTCTCTGTTTTTCCCAGGTCATAGAGAAGAGATACTTCGTAAGAGATGGCAATCAGGTTTGTCATTTTTTCTCTTTTTCTGTTTTGCTTCCCCCTGTGTAATGTGAACTGCTGGTAGCGTCCTCTTGAAAACATGGGCTTCATGCAACTTAAATGATAATCTGTGCTGGTAATTAAGTTTTTAAATCTGTGGGAACACCGTTGTTTTGGATAGACAGAAAAATGACTGACTTCTGTCAGCTGAAGTATTTGTCTGTAATGTAATTGGAGGTGAAATAATTAAGGATGCTAACATATTAGAAGTTGCAAGAGTGAGGTAAAATGGGCAAATATGATCTCTTCCAGATCTATCAGCGTCAGGCTATTTGGTTGCAGATTTAGGCCAGCAATGCTGTCCTGAAGGTCAATGAAAAGGCTTTTTTTGCACAGCTGGAACTAGCATTTTATGTTTTGTGCAGATAGTTTTCATAGAACCAGTGGAGCCACAAGGAAAATGGCAGCATGAGACCAGCTTGTAATTCATTCCTAAGTGGCTGAATTAACTGCTTTCAGTACAGTTGGTGAAGAACTAGCAAAATTACTTTCCCAATTTGGGCAGGCCACTTCAACTTTTTGTGCCCCCCACCTTCCCATATACCGCCTACCATGCAGGGAGTAGTGAGGTTCTATTTATCATATCTGTGAGGTGCTTGCAAAGTACTGTGAATAGCACCATGGAAATACAGTCGAATGTATCGTTAGATGTAGCTGTGCTGAGAGCCTCTTGGGGATAGTGGGGAAAAAATAGTCACAAACTACAAAATGCTTACTTTCTTTGAGCATTTTTTTATGCCTTTTAAAAATAAATTTGCTTTTCCCTGTTTCAGTTATGCGTGATGCCTTTTTTACTTCCCCTCCTCCCCATGTTCCAGTGAAAGGAAGTCTCCCTTTCATGGGGATAATAGCTTAATGCAGAGATCTGCTTGTGTGCTAGTTGTCTTTGATGCATGATGTAAGATTTTTATTTTTCTTATTTGATAATTTTTAGTGACTAGCCAGAGATTAACTCTGTATTCCTTGTGGCCATGTGCCAAAGATTCCAGCCTTCTGATGACTACTTTCATCTGCCTCGCTGAAAACAGCTCAAAAGCTGAAACAGATCTTAAGTCGTATTTAGAGGCAAAATCTGAGTTGGAACTGGAGATTTCATTATAAGCTCTTAATGTTATTATTTGAAATTATCTACTGAATGTAAATCTTACAAATGTGTTTGTGGGTTTTCTACAATAGGTCTCTTCGATCACTCGTGTTTTGAGGTATTTCTATTATAGACTTCTTCAGGATTAAAAGAATGATAAGTTTCAAATTGTTTGTAGCTATGACTTCGATCAGATCTCTGATAAATAAATAATTGTTACTCTTAATTAGTGACTTTGATATAAAAAATGCTAAAGCAGTTAAGTTTTTACCTGTGATGTCCTTTTTGAAATCTCAAAGCAGTCTTCGTGAGATGAACCTTTGTGCAAAATCTGCCTGATTTTTCCCTTAGAGATAATTGCTTTTCAGAAATGAACAAAGCAATTCCTAAATTAATACCTTGCATATCTGTTTGAGTTTTGGACATGAAAACCCTAAATTGTGGGGGTTTTAGTGGACTTTTATGTTAGGTAAGCTCTTCAGCTTTCACAGTTTACCAATGAAGTATGTAACCTAAGCAATCTACTTTGTATTGTAAGTTATATTTTTGTCCCATACCATCCATCCATGCCCACGTTCTCTTGGCGTGATTTGTAGTGCTTGGTTGACACCTTTCATTTTATATTGTATTTCCTATGCGAGTGTGGAATTGTTTTGGGAGGGTTTGTTTACTGGGTCTGCTGTTTCTACTTGTGTGTAGTTAGATATCTAAAAATTACTCTGGACTGTTATCAAATAGCTTTATGATGCCAATAGGACAGACATCTTACATGGTATTAGAAAGCAGTGCATCTCTCTCTTTTGGGAGATTCACGAGTGCATTGGATTGCAAATCTGTTTGAAATACTGTTAAGCCAGAGAAGCTTCTGATGGTTTCAAGTAGATTTTCTTTGTAAGCACTTATTGTCACAGTGTAAGCAGTATTTACAGATTGGCTGCAGAAGCAGGAGTGCTAATCCTTTGCATTGTTGGAGCCATTTCTGTTCTGATGGTTTTCTTAAAGTTTTCAGCGATTGATAAAACTGTACTTTCAAATAGCTGCTGTCTCAGGTTACAACGCATAAAGTCTCAAGAGCTCTTTAACAGGACTTGATAATACTATTTTATAGTTTTAAAAATTAATGGAGGAGAAATTCTTGTATGCATTTAAATCTGGGGGGAACTATGGACTTTGAAATCTATAATTAACCGGTTTAGGATTTGCCCAAAAAATTAAGGCCTTCATTGTAACCCTTGCCAAAAAGCCTTAAGGAGCTCTGTAGAGCAAATGAGCCATACTCAAGTTTTACAGCCTGTTTAATTAATGGTGCTCCTCTAGCAGTAAGCTGAAGCATTTTGGTCCTGATGCTGGAGACTGTGTGGAAGAGGAAGGCGTTGTTGCAGTTGGCTTGGTGACAGGCGCTCGGATGTGGGCTAGAGGGAGCTCATGCTGATTCTGACATGATCTTTCCTGTCCTAGATTCCTGGCTTCTCTGAAAGGAAGAGGTTTGGAGGAGGAACACTGAAGAACCTTCATTATGATTGAACATGAGGAAGTGGAAGTTGACTTCTCAGAGTTCCTAATGACATTCCCATTCCAACTGGATGCTTAAAAGACAATAATGTATATGTGAAGCAGAGTAAAATGATACGATGGCCGGGTAGACTGCTGAAGCTGGTTTCGCTGGAAAAAACTTGGGGAAGAATTTCAAAAAAATCTAATCTGAGGCGTCGAGTGTTTTTTAGGATTGCAGGCCATCTGGATGTATGGGAACATTTGGGGAAAGTGTGCAATAAATTGAATGCCTCTCACACAGCTGTGGGAAACTTTATCATACACAGAATGTATACATGACATCTTTGTCTCCATTTTGGAAAACTTATGGACAGTCTTTCCAATGAATTACATTAATTTTACCTCTAAAGAAGAGATGACAATGAGTGTGCTTCTCATTTACAGTAAAGTGAGCAAAACAAGTGAGCAAAATGTAAGGATGAGTAAGGAATGGTCTGGAAAATAATAGAATGCCTTTATTAAATGAATGATGGTGTCTCACCTGAAACAGTCTTCAGCCTTATTCAAAAGGGATAAAAGAAATAGGCAAGAGATGAGAAAAATATTTGAAGCCTTAAAAAGAAAATCATAAGGAGAAAACAAGTGGTGTTAATTCCACTGCTTAAATTAAAATTGTTTACTTTGTACTCTCTGAAGTAAAGCAGGTACTCCTGTTTATCTTTTCATAATTGAGTGTGGTCTTGTTCTTAATATTAAATTAAAAGGCAGTGCCTGGAAAGCTGATGTAAAGAGTATGTTTTGATACAATGCTTATTTGGAACAAATGTGACATGGTCTTACTGAGCCTGAGGGCTTAGCGGATTGAGAAAACATGAAATGTAAGAACATCCTCTGAATTAGAATGGATAGACATTTAAAAGGGATATAAAACCCTGTAAAAAGTAGGAACTGAGTATGATTGGAAGGAAAGTTCTATGATAGGGATGTTTCCTTTTCATATTTAGTACTAAGCATAAAGGAGACTGGACCTGGTCTGGTCTACTGTGCAAGCTCTTGTCTTCCTCAACAGCCCAAGCTTTACACAGTTTCTCACTTCCCCAGAATTATATGGAGTGGCAAAAGCTTGATTTATGACAGTTTCTTCTTTCCCCTCCTTCCTCACGGTCACCTCTAATGGTTAAGCCTCTGGCAAAGGCTAACTAAGAGCTGGAGTTAGATATAAATACAGATTAATAATAAATGGGGATAGAAGAAAGTAAAATGCTGATGTGAAATTGACAGCAAGCAGAGTTCTGCCATCTCCAGATTACATCTGCCTGCAGCTCTTCTCTAGCAGCTGCTTGGAAATAAATGGAAAAATGCCTATTGCCACTAATCAGGCACAAAAATGACAGCTAGGTGCACCAGTCAAACTTATTAAAAATATGGATACTTTGCTTTTCCTTAGGCCATTTCCAGAAAGGTCTTGGAACATTTGCGAACATGAGTGCAGTAAGTTTTTAGATGCCTGTATGAAATAGATTATTAGTTTACATTTAGTTTATGACCAGGGAAAATAAGGTACTGAAATATTTATAGCCAGATAAGGCACGTCTGAGCTATGCAGCTCACAATAGCACCCATGTCTCTGCTCCTTGGACAATGAAAGCTGGAATTGTTCTCTCAAGGTCAGGTGCTGTCTTAGGGTAACCAGAGCTGGGCTCGCTCAGGTTGCCAAGGAACTGTGGAGCAGAACAAGCAAGCTAGGGCTATTTCTTCCTTTGCCCTGTGGCTGCTTTAGGAGAACGGGAAGTGTTGCAGGGTAAGGGAGGCTATTTAGTTTAAGATGTTGCATGAAGCAACAGTTGCACAGGTCTTTGATTTGGGGGAAGCAACTGTACAAAGTAGCTTTAATGGTGCTCTTCAATTAATGAAGCAAAGAAATACTGCTCAGCCTGCTGCGGGGTGGCCTAAGCCCTAGTTGCAGCTTGCCTGTATTTGTGTGCTTCACTCCTTGGGTTCTACAAAGAAGAAACAAAGTCTTTATATGAGAAATCTTGTGAAGGTCAGCTCATGCTCCAGGAAGAGGAGACAATACCGAAGTCCTGTGCATTGCTGGGACTGAAGGTTATGGCAAGCAGAATTTGGGAGCAAGTTAGAAAGAGGTACAGTTGTGGTAGGAGGGAGAGAAGATAAAGGGCGTAGTGCTGAGGGAAAGTAGAGCGTGTAGGCAAGTGGTGGAAGGTTAGCAGACTGAGAGAGAAGTGTGGTTGAGGCTGTGGCTCCTGCTCTAGACTCAGCTGAGTTTGCTTGGGCTCACTCAGCCAGCTGTGAGCCATAAAACTCATTCCAGAATATCTCTGTCCACTCTTGAATTGACCTGTGTGGCCTGACAAGTGACTTCATGATCAGTGTCACTGGCTTATCTGCAAAACGAAGGAGGCTTCCCTGGAGGCATGGTTCTGCTGTATCTGTTTATCAGATCATGGTGTTTCCAGTATGTTGAGAGTTCACCCTTTTTTTTATTTTAGTCTGGATGTTTAACTTGAAGAAAACGAGGACCAGAGTGGTTCCAGACTTTGTGTTGTCACAATATTTATTCAGGTATCACCACTCTTAAATCTGTCCTGCCATAAACATAATTTAACTTAAATAGTTAGTTTTAATGCATTTGAAATCCTTTAGATAGCTGACATTTGGTTATCATTCTAAAGAGTAAAGGCTAAATTTCTGTGCTGTCTCCATCAATAGCCCTGAAAAATGATTGCAGACCCATCTCACCATGATTGCAGTGTTTTAGCATTTGTGGTTCCAGATTAGAATAGATTGCTTTGTAAAACACCTGTGTGGGGTTTTTTGTTGTATTTTTACCCACTTTTCTTCTTGTATTTCATCAGGGCTGAGTTAAGGATATTAGCATATTCAAGTTATGTTTAAATATAATACTGAAATTTCATAGGTTTCCCATGCTTGGGGTGTGGATAACTGCACTGTCCCTGTTTTGCAGTTTTTACACTTACGTGACTAACACACTGTAGCTTTCTTGAAATAACTCCACATGATTTTTCTTTGGGGTGGTAGCTCCTGTTTTCCTAAATGTAATGCAGAGGCAGAATGGGCTGATAATTAAAAATTAGACAAACCATGGGAATTGGCAGTTGTTGCCAGCACCCTTAGCCTGCTCACTAAGTACAGGGTGGGATTAGGTGCATCTTTCCCTCTACGTTAATCAGAGTTAGTGGCTCCATACACAAGTGCCACCATACCTCGGCGGTACCCATGTTGTTGTGCGTAGAGCAAGACTCTCACACTTGCTGTGGTGTGTGTCAGATGTCTGGACCCAGTGGGCAATGTGGAATGACCATCCCAGTTATTTTTATTGACTTTACCCTCACTCACTGCCCCATCCCTTCTGTGCTTCTGCTTTACTTCTGTCTTAAAATGTCTAAAGATCAGTTGTAAATTGTCACTTAAAAAAAAAAAAAAAAAGCTGTGTTGATATTTCTCCCAGATATTCGTTGTCCAGCTAAACCCTTTCTGTTTTAAGGATCACAGGCTTGAGTGTAGTGGTTGTCTTACACCTGTGTTAATGTAGTGAATGCAGCATCTTAGCTGATTTAATACAAATAGGTCTCCAGTCCAGATTAAGTATCTTATTTGTTTAGATCTCAGCAGGTAACTACAGTTAGGTGTAATTTTTCCTTTTAGGACAAGGTGGTGAATAATGGAGTCATGTACGTTGATGGCATTGCATTTACTTTTAAAGGAAGTGCTAGCTTCTTGTCAGAACCAGGAGTACCTGAGCAGCCAGAGTTAGTTGCGTTGGTGTTTGCACCTCCCCTGTTTCAGCTGCCCAGAAAAGGTTCACCTCCAAGCTCGGGGCTGTGACACCAGACAGCTCTCTGTCACGCTTCGGTCCTCCGATGCGTTTCACCTTTCTTTTCTCTGTGCCTGCCTGTGCCCTCTGTGACCCTTCTGTCTTGCCTCTGTCCACCCCCGCTACCATTCACTGTTCCTCCAGCTCCCTTTCTGCCAACTTCTCTCCCTCTTTCTCACCCCGGTTCCCATGTCCCACCTGCCTGACCCCTCCATGTCACCGTGGGTCACAAAGACCCCTTTCTTTGTGCCCCCTGCTCTGCCCTCTGACGCCCTCTTTCTTCCCCCCGTTCTTCTCTCTGTTTCTCTCCAGCATGCTTTGTCTTTCTTCCTGATTTATCTCTCTGTCTCTCTGTTCGCCTCTCCCCGCACGTCTCTCTATTTTCCTACATCACTCCTTCTCTTTCTGTCTGTCTCTGTTGTCTGTCACAGGCAGACACATTTCACATCAAAGCACTTTTACCCAGTTCTTTTAAACTGGAACCACTCAATCTCTCCATGTTACTTCCCAGACAGAAATAAATGCCCAGATGCTGTGTACTAGAGGTGTCAGTGAAGATGGCTCATGCAGGTACATTTTGAGATGTATTAGACTGCACACCCAGGTGAAATGTATAGCAAATAAGCAATGAGCCTCTCCTCTTTCCAAGGGGCTTGGCAGAGCTTTCTGGTTGATTTATGACCAGTTTGGTGACATGTTCTGAGTATGGAAAATCCCCCAAATCTGCCCCTCTTGATTTCCATGCAGAAAAGTAGGAAACCCGTGTGTACAGTAACCTTAAATTCTTGAGTACACACTTTTGTTCTCATAGCAACAGGATTGCCTTCTCCTTGCAGCAATCTTTAGCAAAAGTGCCATTGGCTTTAAGCATCCAGTAATGGGGTTTTGGGTGCAACCTTAATACAAATTTTCATTATTAATACTTGCAGAGGCAGCTGCAATATGCTCCATTTATCACAAATGAGATATGAACTGCTGCATCATAGCCTAGAGTCAGGGCTTGAATCCTCATTTCTCAGTTGGTAAGAAGGCGACAGACTTTACTGATCGAGAACTTGCATCTGCTGTTTAGCAAAGAGAGCTTAATCCTTCTATTGCTTTTGTTAGTCAGCTCTTCCCATTAGAAGTCATGTTCCTGTCTCACTTCCCTTAGGAGGACGCTGGTTACTTTGATTACTCTGTAGGGTTGAGCAAGTCTGTCTCTTAGTACGCTAGTTTTCTTTGACAAAAAGCTATTATCATTATTGATGAACCTGTTACTGGCTGGCAAGTTACCAGAAAGTGCTCAGAGGTAAAGCTTTCCTTAGGGAGTGCTTTGCTGTAGCACTGTGTTAGGTCCTCAGACAGACACTGGCTTTGGAAAAAATATCACGTAGGTGTCAGGTGGAAGAGGGGAAGGAGAATAAAATCAGTCCCAATCCTCTTTAATTGCAAATGTCCCATCAACGGCAAAGCTCTCCTACCTAGTGAGGGCCTGACATGTAGCCAAAACTACTGTTCTCAGTATTATCCCCTTGTGCTACTGTGAATTTATTCTAACTTCCCATCAGTAAATGAGGAAAATATGTTTCTTTGTGGTACCTGAGAACCCAATGAAGAAGTTAAGAGTCTTCATCACTACCTGTGGGTATATGAGGAGCGTAAGGGCTTTCAAATTATGCAGGCAAAGGTGCAATAAACCGTGATTCTCGGGACCTGAGTCTAAAGAGATCTTGAAATTAGATGTAGTTCTCTAGCAGTGAGAGTGATGGTGCCTGAAACAGTTAATGAAAAAAAAAAAATATATATTTGTGAATGTTTGGGCTTTTTCAGGGTAGAATTTAGTAGCTTTCTGAAAGACGTGCTTTAGCACAGCTTTGAGGAAAAGTCCCCCAGCATATTTGTAAGGAAGTTGGTTTAGATGATCAGAGCTATCTGTGGCAGCAAA